TGACTGTTTGACCAAAATCCGTTGCGAGCATGGATACCAACACAGCACGCCAGCTGCTCCAAGACTTCGAACTCATCCTTGGCATTGCCCAACAAGGCATCGCCACCATCCGCGAGTTCACTGAGAGTCCGACTGCCGAACTTGATTTGGCACCGGAGGCCACGCTCAACCCCGCCATTGAGGACCTCTTTGAGCCACCTCCTGATGCTCCAGATGAACACCTTCCCACTGATCATGACGAACAATTCCCTGATCATTGGGCTCCGCCCACCCCTCCTCCGTCTTCTCCCGGCGAAAAACGAGCTCGCCGCGCACGTGATTTGGCCTCCTCACGATCTACGGCATCCAAAACCTGCTCGTGGACCAAGCGAAGCTACCACATCGACCAGGACTGATGCCTCTACTGAGGCCGAACCTGAAGCCTCGCAGCCTTGGACTGAGGGAGAGATTGAACTCCTCCGTTCCCTTAAGACCAATTCCAAAGCCAAGTATGTGTGGTCAGTCATCGCCACAAGACTTTCTCGCACAATTGATGCTTGCAAGACTCAAAGGGCCTTGCACAAGTGATGTCGCCCCAGTTGGGGCTCCGTGTGTGTGAAGCGTCCTGGAGCACGGACGGAAATTCCACATTGCAGGGGGACTGGAGCCGATTTGCCTATCCAGTCCAATGAAGCTACGGCATTTCGGTGGATACCGGATCTGATCAATCCGGCGTACCTGCCTATTTCCTGACCCTCTTTCCTGATTCTTTTTGCGGTTTCTGTTTGTCGCTGTTGCTTCCTGTTCGGTGTCGATGTTGTGACCTGTTGATTTGCATTTGCATTCAAGCATTTTTACTGACTGCGTTTTGCATCTCGGCTAGTGAAGCCTCTCGAGATAAGTGTGTGTGTGTGTGTGTGTGTGTGTGTGTGTGTGTGTGTGTGTGTGTGTGTGTGTGTGTGTGTGTGTGTGTGTGTGTGTGTGTGTGTGTGTGTGTGTGTGTGTGTGTGTGTGTGTGTGTGTGTGTGTGTGTGTGTGTGTGTGTGTGTGTGTGTGTGTGTGTGTGTGTGTGTGTGTGTGTGTGTGTGTGTGTGTGTGTGTGTGTGTGTGTGTGTGTGTGTGTGTGTGTGTGTGTGTGTGTGTGTGTGTGTGTGTGTGTGTGTGTGTGTGTGTGTGTGTGTGTGTGTGTGTGTGTGTGTGTGTGTGTGTGTGTGTGTGTGTGTGTGTGTGTGTGTGTGTGTGTGTGTGTGTGTGTGTGTGTGTGTGTGTGTGTGTGTGTGTGTGTGTGTGTGTGTGTGTGTGTGTGTGTGTGTGTGTGTGTGTGTGTGTGTGTGTGTGTGTGTGTGTGTGTGTGTGTGTGTGTGTGTGGTGTGTGTGTGTGTGTGTGTGTGTGTGTGTGTGTGTGTGTGTGTGTGTGTGTGTGTGTGTGTGTGTGTGTGTGTGTGTGTGTGTGTGTGTGTGTGTGTGTGTGTGTGTGTGTGTGTGTGTGTGTGTGTGTGTGTGTGTGTGTGTGTGTGTGTGTGTGTGTGTGTGTGTGTGTGTGTGTGTGTGTGTGTGTGTGTGTGTGTGTGTGCGTGGTGTGCGTGTGTGCGGGTGTGCGTGGTGTGCGTGGTGTGCGGGTGTGCGGGTGTGCGGGTGCGCGGGTGCGGGTGTGCGGGTGTGCGGGTGTGCGTGCGTGCGTGCGTGCGTGCGTGCGTGCGTGCGTGCGTGCGTGCGTGCGTGCGTGCGTGCGTGCGTGCGTGGGTGGGTTTGTGTGTGTGTGTGTGTGTTGTGTGTGTGTGGGTGCGTTCGTGCGTGCGTGCGTGCGTGCGTGCGAGCGTGCGTGCGTGGGTGGGTGGGTGGGTGGGTGGGTGGGTGGGTGAGTGGGTGGGTGGGTGTGTGTGTGTGTGTGTGTGTGTTTTTGAAGCTACTCCTTCTATGTGGTATTTACACAACAAGAAGCAAATGAAAAAAGTGCATGTTCCTTTTTGTTTGGGGAGGGGCTCCACTTTAGAAAGACACCCGTTTGGGTTTGTCAGTGGGCTATCCTCGGCCCTCAGCGCAGAGGCAAGCCTTGTTGGCAGTGAGCTGTCCCAGCCGCAACTGTGAGCTCCTCAGGACGCCAGCACCATAATATGGGTATGTGGCCATGGGTCAAAATCCCGTACCCCCAGTGAACATCCCAATCCCCACTAAAATAGACTAAAATGGGTGTTGCACCTACCCCAAAATGGTACCATTGGTTCCATGTGTCAAAATGGGGGGCACCACCAAAATGGCTTCTGTTTTCCCTTTGGTTTTCCTTTCAACCAACCCCTGAAAAGGGTACTCTCAGAAAAGCACACCCACATTGAGCTGTCACAGGATGGATGGCTTTTGCCACCCGTCCGCGAAGAGTGCAAGACCAGAGCTGTCCACTTTCAATCACATGAATGATTTGGCCTGACTTTGCTCCACGGACCAAACTTAACCAACCCCATGAGCCAGAATTTGGGGTTTGCTTTGTATTCAGCGCAGCTTGAAGGCATCAACATATCGCTGTGCTTGCTTCTTGTCCAGGCAAGCGCTTTACGGTGCCATGAGCAAGCACGCGGATCTTGGCGCGTCCGTGCAGGCGCGGAGAGGTCGGATCATGTTGGAGCCACGTTTATTCAGCGTAGTCGACCGGATCACGAATTGCCTGTTGGGTGATTGCGAAGAAATATGAGCCAAAGTCTCCTGATTCCAGAGCGATGTCGACATCTTAACTTGACAAGTTGCTTGGTATTGATGTCGGCTGTCGGAACGGGTCAAAACAACAAGTTGTTTTTTGAGCATGGCTTGAGAGCTTCTAGCTAGGGGGTCGTGTTCCCTTTTGTTTGGACTTCTCAGTGCAGTCTTGCATGACCTTTACGTTTCACTCCAAGGACTTGACCCACAGAACTCATTTATCATTATGAATAATACCAATTGGAGTCGGTGAAGTAGATGTATTAGATGTCCCTATGGAGGTCACCCCGTCCCCCTTATCAGTAGCGCTCTCAGTAGCGCTCTCGCATTAAAAAGAGAACGCATGTAGGGATTGGTGTTACAGGGCCGCAGTTTTGGTTTTCTTTTGTCTTCCTCCAACAAGGCTCTCTTGCACGGCCCGAATATTGTCTAAAAGCGACAGTTTCCGAGTGATACGTTAAACAGCAGAAACTTGAATCAATGTCATTCTGAAGCTTAGGTTTCCCCCTTAGACATGTTTCAATATCCAAAGATCTGTCGATCCGGGTTTGGTATCCCAATGAACTAAATGTGTTTGGGTTCCTTTGCAGCGCTTGTGACTCCAGCCAACACTCCCTGGATTTCTCTTGCTGGTGCTCAGGGAATGAGGGAATGAGGGAATGAACCCAGACTTCCCCCTGAAAGGACATTCCATTTCTCTCATTCCCTGCATCTCTCGCACCGTTCGCAAGTTTTAGCCGCATCCAGCTCTCCAGTCACCGTTTCGGGAAGCAGAAACAGACGGCGCCAGGACTTTGTGGGCGCCTTCAGCAGCTGTGGTGAAGGCTTCGAGGTTTTTGGCCGGGAGGTGCCAGGAGCTTGGGAAATTGACACGGACTTGAGGACCAACGGCCACGTGCTTGACTGCTATTGGGTTGGATCTTTAGACTTTAACTTGTTGAGAAGTCAAGGGGTGTTCCACTAAACCCACAAAAAGTTAAACTTTTTGCAGAGGGTTCAACGGCAACCAAGCATGGGATCAATTCGAGCGGCATCCAAAACTGCCGTGCACATGTTTAGTAAGACTCGTGTCATACCGACCTGCGCTCGAGCAAAAGCTTCACGCGCGTAAGGTGGCGTAAGCTAGTGGCGTAAGCAAAATGATATGACACATCAACTCATGACCCGTTTAGGATGTGGCTCAACTGGTGTTTGTGGTTGCTATGTATTGTTCTTTATTTGTTTGTGCTTGTTTGTTTGTGTTTTGAAGTTACCCTTCTTTGAAGTGGCTTTAAAAGGAAAGCCACCTTCTTCCTTTTTTTTTGGGAGGGGGAGGCTGAATGCATAATATATATATATATTATACATATACATGTGTATGCAATACATATATATATATATATATATGTACACATGTTGCAGTCACCTGCTTCAGGGTTCCTGATGTTTTTGGGGTTGGGGACAGCTTTGAAACAGGATGCCCAGGAAGAAATGGCAGGCGACTAAGTTCACATTCGATTTTAAGGGTTTTGTGGTTACTGATGGCTGCCAAATGGTGGGGCTCATCGATATGTTTACTGGGTAGGAATCAAATTACGCAAGGTGGCATGGCGGCTGCAATGATTGAATTGGAGTTTAGTGAATGATATTAAACATGTCGGCGTTATTTTTGCTGGGAAAGTAGGGTTGCATCTTGTTTGCATCTCCAGTGGACCATTCTTCGGACACAAACATAGGATGATATGTTGAGGCTTGTCGCCTGAGGCTCCAACGCTCAGGGCGCGCTCTTATACTGCGGGCCAAGGCGCGTCGAAAGAAAAGTATTTGCTGCTCAGCCTTTGCCTATCGGAGTATTGCCAAAGTCAACAGAAAGAAGATGGGGATTGAGTCGCAGCTCGGGGTTCCGTCACTAGGCACTGCACGTGTACGTGCAAAGGTTTGCTGCACGCTGACAGCTATGGCAATGGCTAGTCGGGAAATTACAAGACAACTAACTGGCGCCACTTGTATTGCCCGCCTGATCAACTTGGAGCGGCGCGAGCTTGCCCAAAACCGGTATGCCAAGGTTGTTTTTGTTCTCCTCAATTCATCTCCTGCCTTGGTCCTTTAAGCATCAGAGTGGTGGATCTCCCATGGCTTGAGAGGACCAATGGCGCGCAGCTTCGCCATGGCAAATTTCCACCTCGTTTCGTGTGCGCAGCCGCCAGACATATTGGATCGCAGGAAATAGACAGTCCAAGGTGGTGTAGCTCCGGTTGAAAAGATCGGCAGGACAATCCTTAGCCTTTACTGGTTTTGTGGAAGAGCATCTGCATTCAGCTTTGTGCTAGTGAATTAGACTCGGTTCAGACGCCATGGCGGCTGCTGAAGCAAACACTCCAGCAAGGACGGACAAGACCAAGGACCGAAATGCCGCCAGCTGTGTAGCATACGCAGATTCATCGGCGCATTGCCCAAGTGGTTTCCTGCTTGACGCACATAAAAGTGCTGCTGCTGGTGGTGGTGGTGGTGGTGGTGGTGGTGGTGGTGGTGGTTTGTTGTTTGTTGTTTGTTGTTTGTTGTTTGTTGTTTGTTGGTTGTTGGTTGTTGGTTGCTCGTGGCTGGTTGCTGGTTGTTGGTTGTTGGTTGTTGGTTGTTGGTCATTGGCTGTTTGTTGTTTGTTGTTGGTTCTTGATTGTTGGTTGTTGTTTGTTGTTTGATGCTTGTTTCTTGTGTGTTGTGTGTGTGGTGTGTTGTGTGTCGTGCGCTGTGTGCTGTGGGTTGCGTGTTGTGTTGCTTGTTGCTTGTTGCGTGTTGTTTTTTTGGTTGTTGTTTGTTGGTTGTTAGTTGTTGGTTGTTGTTTGTTGTGTGTTGTGTGCTGGGTGTCGTTTGATGTGTGCTGTGTGCTGTGTGTCGTGTGCTGTGTGCTGTGTGTTGTGTGTTGTGTTGCTTGTTGCGTGTTGCTTGTTGCTTGTTGTTTGTTGGTTGTTGGTTGTTGGTTGTTGGTTGTTGGTTGTTGGTTGTTGGTTGTTGTGGTTGTTGGTTGTGGTTGTGTTTGTGGTTGGTTTGTTGGTTGGTTGGTTTGTTGGCTTGTTGGCTTGTTTGTTTGTTGTTGGTGGTGGTGGTGTTGGTGTTGGTGTTGGTGTCGTTCGCGTCGTTCGTGTCGTTCGTGTCGTTTGTGTCGTTGGTGTCGTTGGTGTTGTTGGTGTCGTTGGTGTCGCTGGTATCGTTGTGGTTGTGGTTGTGGTTGTGGTTTTTGTTGTGGTTCCGGTTGTGGTTGTGGTTGTTGTTGTTGTTGTTGTTCTTGTTGTTGGTGGTGGTAGTGGTGGTGGTGGTGGTGGTGGTGGTGGTGTTGGTATTGGTGCCGTCGTCGTCGTCCTCGTCCTCGTCCTCGTCTTCGTCGTCGTCGTCGTTGTTGCTGTTGCTGATGCTGTTGCTGTTGCTTGTTGCTGTTGCTTGTTGCTGTTGCTTATTGCTGTTGCTGATTGCTGTTGCTGATTGCTGTTGCTCATTGCTGTTGCTTATTGCTGTTGCTTATTGCTGTTGCTTATTGCTGTTGAAACTTTGGGTACCCCTGTGGGTGGCTCGTCTTTTTTTAGGGACCCTTGAATTGGCATCGATGTTCCATTTGGTGTTTCTTTCAATCCCCAAAGGGGTACCACCTCCAAAACAATTCAGACCCCTACGGTTTGAAGCGTGTTTCTCGCTTTGGCGCCTCCCGCTGAAGGGTTTGCCGCAGGAAATCTTCCAGCGGTGGGACGTTCACGGCACCGGGGTCATCACCCGAAAGAGGCTCACGGAGCTGCTGACGGAGGTGGCTGGCAAGAGCGTCACCGAGGCGGGACGTTGGGAATTGGTAAGGGAAATTCGGAGGGACCTGTTTTGGGCTGGGAACGCATCCAGGTTGGAGCATTGTTTATTGGGAAGGCGTGAGAGAATATCCTTTTCAGGCGAATTGTTGATTTGGAAATCAAAGGCAAACCAGTTCACTTGCGTGCCCTGCGTGCCCACGTGTTGAGTCAGACCCGCTTTCAATAGGCATACTTGAAGCCTGCCTTGATTTACTCCAAAAACATGCGGCTGTTTTTTCCCGAGACATCGGCTTCCTCATCAAGAATTTGACGTTCACGACCTTGTGACGATTCCCTCAAGGGTACCTATATTGTTTTGGCAAAGAAATAGATTTGGCACCACGTCTGGGCTGGCTCTGGAGAGAAGATTGTGGCGGTGTTCAAAGTACTTGTTGGGGTTGATTCCTTTGTAGCCAGCATTCAAAGTGTAATTTGAGGATATGACTTTGATGAACAGTTGGCAGGACGCTTGATATGGGAAGTCCTAGTAGATGTTATTTTGCTGCAACATCCCGCGAGCACTTTGGTTTTGAAGGAGATATGTATGTATATGTACATATATATATATATGCTATATTACATATATATATATATACATATTTCACCACTTCCAGCATCCATGTCGATGTGCATCCCTTTCTGTTCAAGCAGTCAATTGAATGTGAGAATTCGTGTTACTTTTACCCAGAAACTGAGCTGGCCGAGGAGGAGATCGAGCGCTGCATCGCCGAGGAGCGGACAAAAAATGGTCGGAGCCATCAGACCCAGGTCCTAGGTGGGTTGATATGGTTGTGTCTTTTTTTGATGGTACCCTCCTGGGGTTGGTTTAAAGGGAAACCAAAAGGGAAACCACCATTTTGCGGGTTCCCTATGTTGACTCGACACGTACCCATATGGGTGATTGAGCGCGAGGCGAAATAGGTAACCCTTTGTTGGAAATTCGCACACACTTGGGCGGAAGCAGTCATCTAGATATCGCAAGTGAACCACCCACACACACACACCGCTGCAAGACTACAACATGTTCGTTGTGCACCGCTTGCCAGATTGGGGGATCGTGTTTAATGGAGAGCAAAGGGCAAACAGGCCAAACCGGACAGCCAGTTTTGTCCGTGAGTACTTGGATACTTAATCTACGTAGTAGGAATGGACGGCACGTAGGTACAAGTGTGAGATCATAGTTAGCTTTGCTTCTTGTTCAGTTTGTTAGACTTACATGGAGGGCATCTATAGAGGTTCGGAGCAAGTCAATGGCCCTCTTGGTGGGTTGGTGCAGGTGCCAACAATACGGTAACATGCACCAATAAGCTTTGAACAACCGTATTGTCCTGGAAGAGTTGTCTGATATGAGAGCAGTTGGATCCTCAACAGGGCACGAGACTGGTTTTCGCAAAAAAAAAGCACCGGATTGGGGGCCCCCGATTTGAACAGATTCTATAACACAAGGTCATGTTCACAAGCCAAGTTAAGGAGGACGTTGTTTGGTAGCGCTTGACAGGGCACCACCAAGACAGAGAAATTCGTTGGGAGTTGAACCTGTCACCCGGGCTCTTTCTTCTTCTGTCTTAGACCCAGCCTTCAGAACCATAGGCAGACAAGAATAAGAACGGGATCATCGAGTACAACGAGTTCATCGAGTGGCTTCAACAACCCATGGGCACCGTGCGCATGGGCAGCCGGGGCTTGGAATACTTCGACCTGGAGGCATGCGTTCGCCCGCTCTACGATGTCTACGACCAGAACGGAGACGGGGAGATTTCCATGGACGAGTTCATTCAGTGCCAGACGATTCTTCAGAATTCCCTGGGGCTGAAGAGCAGCGTCTCCTTAGAGGAGCAGTTCAAGAAGGAGTTCGGCGCCAAAGGCGCGAGCTCGGCGGTGCTCAGCAACGATCCCAAGCAGCTCTTCCTGACCGTGGATGAGGACAAGAGCCGCAGCATCACCTTCAAGGCGACGGGGAGATCGCTGTCGCAGACTGTGTGGACATGAGTGGGGAACTTGTTGGGTGGGTGATGGCTACTAAACAAAAGTTGTGATGGCGATGATGTGATGTAGGGCAGGGGAGGGGGCCACACTCAGGATAGGCTCAGGTGTAGTTAGCGCTTGAGTCATGATAAGGGCTTACGGGCTTCTTGGCGTCTTGGTTGGAGCTTATTTCGCCAGAAGTTGTGAAGCACAACCTAAACACTTAGCATGGTTTTGAAGAAGCACATCTGACTTGAGGCATGACACGCAGGTCCTGTAAAGCATAAGCTGAAAGCCGGCCTAGTTTGGGCATATGTTGCCCTTTTGCTTGCTTATGTCGGGCTTATGTTGGGCTTATCTCGGGATTCCTGATGCAGCCTGATTGCGAGCTTCCGTTGGACCTATGATGGTGGCGATGATGATGATGATGATGATGATGATGATGATGATGATGATGATGATGATGATGATGATGATGATGCTCATGCTCATGCTCATGCTCATGCTCATGCTCATGCTCATGCTCATGCTGATGCCGATGCTCATGTACACAAATGCATTTAAGTGATCCAGAGGTAGCTTCCTTGGAGAACTTTTGCTTCCCCTAGGAGTTCCTGGATTGGCAGCGCGCGCAGCTGGTGGCGGCGCGGACCCCTTCCAAGGAGCTGGAGGAGCTGCTGCCGGCCTTGGCGCGGCAGCTGAAGCGGGTCTTCAAGTTCGACGAGGCCAGAGGGGGGGGCCGTCGCAAAACGGGGAACCCGTCGGACACCCCAAAAGGATGTAAAACCACAAAAACGGAAGACTTGTTTTTGTTGTTGGTTCTTTTTTTTTCTGGAAGCCAATCCAAAAGAAGCTGCCGAGTGTTTGTTCAAGACATTTTTTTCTGGAGTTGCTATCCCCCCTGTTGTGGGTGGGAAACAGAACCCAATGGAAGATGATGAATGTTGGAGTGTGCCCTATTTTGAGACAAACCCATATTATGCCTTTTTTCGGGGAGTTTGAGAATCGGCTTGCTTGGACAGACGGAAATATGAAGTGAAGGGACAACAAATTCTGTTTGGCTCATGGCATCTGAAAAAGAAGGATGGGGGAAGTTCTTGTGTTCTTGCTGTTTCGCCTTACACATTCCCTTTGTTTGGTCTCCACCCTCATCAGGCGGCCAAATTGGAGGCATCCGCCCCGGCGGTGAGCAGTCAGCCATGTCCTAGAGCTGTGATCAATTGAAATCTCAAGGGGGACCAAGCGCCGAATCTGTGGGAAGAAGTCCAGGGCTATGTGAAAACCTCCAAAGTAGTTGCCCATCCATGGGTTTGCCCTAGCTTTCAAACTTCTGTCGGGTTGTTTCAGGCCGTTTCCTCAGATTGGGAACGGTCCGGCAGTTATGGATGGTGAAAAATGGGAACATTGGACCGTCCAATAGAAGTATCAATTCGTAGTGGAAATGGTTGAACGCATCCTCCCACCGCTATAAAGAGAACCCAGCTTGTATAATTAGGGTCATTCCGCTTGGAAAAACAAGCAAGCCGCTGCTTGCTGTTTTGAGATGGGCTCGGGGGTGCTTTTGTCATCAGCAGCGCCAAAGCACCTGAGGAGTCGGAGGAGAGAGAGTGTGACTCGAGGGTCTTGCAGCGCATCGTCGACAATCTGGCGCCTGGGCTCTAAACTGCTCGGTTGATCGGTCAGCCAGTTGGGTTGGCTGATGAACAGGTGCATCCAAATTGCTTGTTGTTTCTGTCGACACATCTAACCGATTGGCTTTCTCATTGCATGTCTTTGTTTGACACACGCCGTTCTCGCCAAATTTGTGTCCCCAGTTTGGTGCAAAGGCTCAGGGGGCGTGGCGGGCAGGCCAAGTTCTGCGTGGAGATTTGGTCCGAGAAGCAGGGGGAGGTGCAACCTGCGAAGCCTTTGGCCACGATCACTGGAAAGGCCCCGGCCTCAGGCGAAAACTGCGAACTGCCATGAAGATTGAGTGTTTCTGGTTGCGGTGAAACACGACTTGGGGCCAGGTTGATTGCATGTTGCTGGCATCCCTCTAGAACAACCCATTACCTCAACGAATGACCTTCCTGTCTTAGCTTGAAATTGTGCACGTGTGGGGCAAGGAAAACACTAAGGCAAAGCAAAGGGCAAAGCGAGCCGGCAATTTGTGCCAAACAACCCACACATGGATGCAGCTTTGCCACGTGGAAGAGCCCTAGATTGTCGACCCTTTTGTGACTAATGTGTCAAGAGAGGTGCCAACCTGGTCTTGGGTGCTGCTTTGTTTCTGATTTCTTGGAGGTGGTTGTTCCGTTTTGGGGAACATCAAAGTATGGCCACACCCGAAGCGCCGAAGACCCAACTAGAGGCTTGACGGGTTCATTCGCACAAGGTCAGGCACTACACCAATCGATGGTCGGAGCCACCGGTGGGCCTGAACATCAAGAAGCTCAAGGCCTTCGATCATGTGATCCTTGAAGCCCTTAGTGTGGGACGCTCGGGGAAACACTGTGGTAAATTTTACGAGAGGATCACAGAAGTTGGTTGCCACAATTGTTCGGTGCAACCTCAAGGAATGTGAAGGTAAACGGGAAGCACTGAACAAGCATCCTGACGAGCGTGTGGTTCGGATTTCTGGCTTGCCTTTGCTGCCGGAGTGTTGCTCGTGTTGCTCGGGTCCATGCCTCTCGTGCAGGCAAAGTACTTGGCGACGGAGTCGTGCATGAGCAGCAGCAGAGTTTTAGACAACATGGACCTGGACCTCATGGTCATACCACAGCTTCAGGAAGGCCAGGCCGTCGGAAATCGGTTTGTCCGGAAATGGGGGGGAGCCTTTTGGTTTCAAGGGAAACCGAAAGGAATGCCGACCTGGAGAGGCCCCTCATTTTGAGGAATATAGACTTCCCATTTCGCTCGAGGGTCGCATTCAGGCAGAAGTACGAACAAACCCATCTGCATAGGCGGCAATTCCCCTACCTTGGCTTTAAGCGATGCGGTGGAAAACGGTCCGGACTCCAAGTCTGTAGTTTCATGCTTCTTTGAACCCTGCAATAGGCGGGCCCTGTTTGCGGAGATTTGAAAGGAAAACCATCCGAAAATCACATTTGTATTGGGGGGTCCCCATGTTTTGACACAGATCCGGTTGAGTGTTCCCGATTGGATTGAACCCCTGAAGATGTCCCAGCCCCGTCTTTGCCAGCCTTCCGCTTTGACTTTCAGGAGAGGAGATCAACCCGCGCAGCCGTATCTGGCTGGCCGCTGGACTTTGAGATATGAATGTGCTTTGGGTCGTTTCATCGGGAGGATTCTGAAAAAAATTCTCGATTTTATTGGTGGCAAGCAGTCTTTCCTTTGACCAAGATGCGGTGAGATCAGTCAACGTCCTTTGACCTATGGAGTTCGAACATGGGCGAGGAACTGCATGAGCCCAGCTTGAGCCATCTTGGGACTGAGGCGCAGATCATCCAGAAGGCAGGGAAAGCAGTCGGGCATTCGCTTGGCAAGGCTCAGCCACCTGCTAGGTCACAATGCGAGATGGGAAGGTGCGGTCCGACGATCCAGCCGCTGAGCAGAAACTGAAAGGGCTCAAAGGCCCTCAAAGGCACATGAATGAGTGGGCTTGAGGTGTACTACGAGTTTACCTCTTTGTCCTGGAACAAGACGTCAGACGTGTCACCCTCAGCTTTCACTGCGTTGAAATCTCAGCTCTGTCCCATGTCTTCGACTCTTCGACTCTCAGGCGGTCTTCAAATTTCACACCGCCTACGATGCGTTGCCGCCGGAGCTGCGGATGTTCTCGCTACTGAAGGCCCAGAGCCGAGCCGTGAAGAAAAGTGCTAGAGCCCAACCTGGGCAGACACAGTGGTGATGTAACTAGGTACTGGATGTGTAAATGGTGCATATCGGTACCTACTCCCGGTATCCTTACTCTTGACATGGTACACTCACCATATGACCTGTTGAATTATTGGGGATGCCTCGCGAAACGTCCTTTGCTTTGGGCCACGAAGATTGGCCATGGCTCATGTCCACTGCGTCACCTTTTGGCTTTCATCAAATATGTGTGGTGACCGGTCACCACAGGGTGTTGATTCCAGGCAGGCGCTGATTGAGTGTAACACCCATCTATGCCTCCCCAGTGTGTGGACGTACAAGTTGATATCAGGTCAATACACTGCCAAGGAGAAGAGCTGAGTTCTTGGTGTTTGCAAGCCCTGCATTGATGTTTCCAGTCCTATTTGCGGCCCCTCGTGAGGCAGAGGCTGACTTTGGCAATAAGCTGACCTGGAGCCAGATCCAGCGTGTCTTCACCAGGCCAGCGGTTGTCCCGACGCTCACTTTGGCGGCATGTAAACCACAACGCACAGACAATTGTGACAAACCCCGCCGGGTGCTCGCGACAAACATCATTGGTGCTCAAACAGAGGGATTTCTTTCGCCCCAAGGGGTCAGTCGCATGTCCAAACCATCCTCTTGGCCATGCTTGAATCTTAGCAAGGGAAAGCAGAATCTTTGCAACCATCTCGGTAGAACCAAAAGTCAAGTTTTGATCCCTCCCATCAGCCACATCAAAATGACCGGTAGCTTCTGCCGCCCATTCGGTTGCATCGTTTGTCATGCCAACATAGGATTGAATAACCCCCATTATTACTCCAACCGTTTGTCATGCCAACATAGGATTGAGAACCTCCACTACTCACTACTCCAAGGTTGGGATGACCCTTCCAGTTTTTTTTGGTCGCCGATCAGACGGATCAGACGCGGGACTCGCTTGAGGACCAAGAGCCACGGGATCCTGACGGTGGCGCAGCACCAGGAGTACAACGCCGCCATGGAGCTGAGAGTGACGAAGGCCTTGAAGGAGGAGGACACTCCGATGGGTCGACCCTTTTTGGGGTACCGGAATACCGCTTTTTTGGTGGGTTTGAAGGGAAACCAGAAGAAACAAACGCCATTTTGGGGGGTCCCCTGGAAAATGACAGACCCAAATTGGCTGGGGGGAGGGGGCTGGTGGGGTGGGGGGGAGGGGCTGGGCTCCTGACTCATTCTGCAGTGGCGTTGGGGAAGATTTGGATGCTGTCCCTGAAATCGCGAAAGGATAGTTTCCTCCGGCTTGGGGAAAACCAAAAGGAAGATGAGATACCTGCTTTTTGGCCCCCGTATTCTTGGCCTGGATGATGCATTCAGGCTGTCTTGCCTTCGCCTGGATGGAAATCGGAGGAAGCGTCATGTGCAAAGGGGGCCCTCATTTGGAACAATGAAAGGGCTCTGAATGGGCTCGGCAACTCGGAATTCCAAAGATGACGTTCCACGGACTGCAACTGCGGGGATGGATGGGAGTGAGCAGTGAGACCCAACGTGGTTGAGCTGCAAAATGCATCTCTGTGAGCCAGGCTCCTCTTTTTGAACCACAGCAACTCGCAATTGTAGTTATGTGTTGTGAAGGCTGCAGCTACTGCTCAGCAACTGCTGACATGCCGACCAGGGAGCGGAGTTTCCCTCCCCCTCCCGCATGCAACCACTGTCACTGCGCAGATCGTCACACGTATTGGCAGGGTGAGCAGTTGGGCCAGGTGGGCCAACTGAATGTTGGATTTGCAAGGAGCTTTGTTTGTATTATCCACATCTCCCGTGACACGTTGCAAAGCAGCCGCAGCAAGGTTGACAGGTGTTCGATCCACTTGAAAGCAGGACCTTCTGTCCGGGCTGACTCAAGAAGAGGCCAAGAGAAAGGTTCAGGACAATCTGGTTGCAATCACGCAGAGGCTGGCAGCAAGAGGAGTCGCAATGTGCGCATATTGAGAGAACATGCGTTTCATGATTGCATTGGAGCTGCAGTGAGTCATTCCATAAGTTGTTCGCGAGTGTCTACATCCCGAACTAAAATTCGTACCCACTGGGCTATGTGTCAAAACAGGGGGGGTACTCCTAACATGGGTGTCCTTTTGGTTTCCCTTTACATCAAGGTAAAAAACGGGTACCCACACGCACGTACCGATATGTGTTTGCTGCCTTCGTCAGGCCACAAGACATCATGGTGCCTTGGATCGGAGAAATGCGAAGTGGTGTTGGGTCAGAAGACATGGCTGGGCTTGGAGGTCATGTTCTGATCGATCATGACAGGCTCAAGTTGCCACCAAACTCCACCATGCGTGTGTGAAAGAGAGAGAGAGAGAGAGAGAGCGAAGAGAGAGAGAGAGAGAGAGAGAGAGAGGAAGAAAAGGAGTGCAGAACTTCATGCAGAAAACTGATGTTTGGAATGGGGAACTATCGCGCGGAAGGCGACGTACCCAAGACAATCAGACCCTCTTCCTGGGCTCTCGCTGATGTTTTCTCTCAACAGAATTTACCGCCACCACCGGTGGCGGCAGCAGCAACAGCAGCAGTGCCAGTCGTCTAGACTCTGTTCCAGCAACTACCAGTGTTGACAACTACCCCCAAAACTCCTGCGGAGCTGCAGTCACCCCCCCCTCGATCCTGGTCGAGATTAGACAAGATGTTCTTGAAGCGCAGAGACGAATGGCAGCTTTGCAGGTGGGGAAGTTCCTCGTATTACATAATGTGGGTACAAGGGAGA